TATTTCTTTTTTTGCGAACTTTGTCAATTTGAGAATATTCTAAGGTGAAAGGTTGGAACACTGAAGTCAGTAAAATTCTATGCATAGCAAGAAAAAGAAAAAACATCAGAAAAGAGTTGCCAGCCAACCAACGAGAATAATAGTAAGAATGCGATATCAACAGGTTGTACGAGACTAGAATGACATTAGCAACAATCGAGAACTATCAAGTGTGTCTTGGAGTCATTTTAATATAAAAACCATTAAAGTAATTAGAGAAACTTAAATGACCACCTGTAAAAAAAGAAGTAACTTATTAAAAAAATAACATTTCAAGTGTAGCTAGGGTGATTCAATTTAATTAGTGCCCCCTAACTACAAACCTATTTTGTGTGTATAACAGCGATGAAACATAATACTTGTTAGTTTCAGGTATACAAATGACTTTCCTTAAACCTTCATTATATACAGCAAAATAACAAGTCAATTTTACCCTGAGTGCAATGTATGAAATTGAATCTAACACGCAAATTTGTACTAAAGTATAATAAAACCTATACATAAGTCAATAAATAAATTATTAGTTTCCATATTCTGTATCCTATAAAACCATTTATTTTCACCGACATTTAATTTTGCTATACTGATGTTATATTCACTGGGTTTTGATCTTTCCACCACAAGTTCTCTATTTTTATCAGAAATTCACAAAATAATCCTGTTTATAATCTGCACTTTCTTTCAGAAGATTGAGACAAAAATAGTCAATTTTTATGAGTAAAAACATAAAATTAACTCAAATTTTGTCTGTTGGCTCCAAAATCAAGGTTTATTTCCAGAAACATTGAATATAAGCAAAAAGTGCAGAAAAATTTTGGTTAAGTTCACAAATTTGCCAATGAAACAATGAGTTGTTTTGTTATTTTATATGTTCAAGTAGATTTAATTTTAATAGTGAATTATACTTATCATCAAAAATAGATATTAACTCTTTTCTAACGGAATCTCAACAATGTTAGCGATAAACCACTGACACGAACAAGCAGTTAACTAATACCGGTAAGTTATAATTAATTAATTGAGTTATAATTAAGTTATAATTAATTATAACTTATTCTACTTAGTAACTGAGGCTAAATGAATAAGACATACTTCCAAGTAGAGTTCAATTGGGCAATAACTATCACGGAGTCATCAAAGTAATTGGTATAATGCCCTTTGAAAAATAGTCATTTCTTATACACTTATTATTACAAGGCAATCTTATCAATTTTTGCTTTTAAAATAGGTGCCCTTCCAAGCCCTGGATTTGTTTCCAGTCAACACACGCATCAATGTTGTGTTTCAAAGTTGAGTGTAAATCATGATTTTATAGCAATTTTTTATATAAAAGAATTTGTGTGAAAATTTCAGGATCAGAAATAAATCTTTTTTAATTTGGCTAAATCTCAATAACCCATGTTTCTGAAAACTGCTCTATTTTCACAAGACAAAATATCATGAATTTCACAAAATATAGACACAAAGGCTTAGCGATTTTCACAACTATTTTGTCCTAATGAATGCCATCAAACTGCAAATAATTTCTAGCAGGGAAAATAAAATGGTTCACAGTATACTGGTAAATCTGCATCTTTTTTTTGTGTGTAAAGCATACAAATCAATTGACCTAGCTATACCAACTTGTAATATTGTAAAATACTTTATTTTTTGTACTTGTTTGTTGTGCAATGTAATTTTTTGGTGCACATACATGTAACTACGTAAAGTGCTTATGTAAATTGACTCAATAAAAAATGTTTTAAATACAAAAAAAAAATTTTTTCGCTGGAATTAATTTTCGCTGAAATGACTTTTTGGGTGTTTTGTATGGAATTTATTTTCACTGATTTTTGACGAGTTGAATGTAAAATAAGGGAAAAAGGTACATTCACTGGATTTTACTTTCTCCGAATCATTGATTCCTACAGTAAAAATTAATTCCACGCAATATTATTTCACAGTATTAAAAGTAAACATAAGTAACTTTTTAATTTTATTAAACGGTTAAATAATAAATAAATGTTTTTTTATCTAACTCATCATGAGGACCAAAAGATACACTACTACAATAACATGTCGAGTTAAATTTAAGTCATAATCTATTCACCAAGTAAAAAAAATACTATATTTGCTCTATTAAAAGCACACCAACAACAGTAGCTCATCTCCATCAAAAATCACATTTTTTGTATATTGAATCATTAAAATATGACTTATTTTGACTATGAAAACAATTCTGCTCCAATTTATGTGAACAATGATGTATACTTAAGGATCTGTATTTCAATTCTAATATTTATTTTTGTGAAATAAAATTTATTCGGATGAATTAGTTAGTCGGATGATTCAAAACTAAAATTAGTTCTAATCGAGGAGCAGCTAGGATTGAATACGTAAAGAGTAATAAGTATAACAATACCTGAAGATCCTCCATATTCAGATTATGTGTCATTTTTTTCGATCTACAGTTCCAGGTTTCATAAAACTTCACCTCAACCAACTAACAAAGAATTTCCGTGGTACGTACAAGCAGGTGAAGTGAGCCAAACTATGCTGGCAATGCATCTAGAAACGTTTATCTATACACAGAGAAGAATACCTATAGTAATGCACAATGAGGGGGCTGTAATGTTTGTACTGTGGTCACTTTACAATACACAAGTACACCACAATGATGATTGTCATGCTGATTGGAGGATATTAAAGTAGACACTGTAAATTCTGCTGGAGGATTGGATACATCACATTTTTCTCAACAATGTTATTAGCATTATTTTAATCAATATGATCCAGTTAAATATTAGACATTGCTACCGTACTCATTCACTCGCTTATACAGCAGACATTGTAGGACTTTACTCTCAGCAATTAATAGGCTGTCGCATGTGTTTACATTTTGCACGTGTTTGTTTTGCACATGTTTACGTTTTGCACATGTTTACGTTTTGCACGTGTTTACATTTTGCACGTGTTTGTTTTGCACATGTTTACGTTTTGCACATGTTTACGTTTTGCACATGTGCATGTGCACCGTAAATGGTTGGCAGGAACGTACCAGTTGTTCGTACCAGACGATGGTGTTGTTCCTTCCTTGTATTTAAATATAAATGCAGGTATTCCTGTTAATAAAACAACTTGTGGGCAACGTTGTTACAACAGCTCGTTTACTAATGCTGATCACTGAGTGACATTTCTTATCAGACAGTCGCAGAAATCTAAACATTTGACGTCAAATTACCATGACCTATACAATTAGAGCTGAGTTGACTAGACATAGAGCAAAACAAATTTGCATCATTTATTAGACTCAAAAATGGCAACTACATTTAACATCATGGTATATTTCTAATTATTTGTAAAAAATACCATCAAGTAGCTGATGTCAGTGAGCATCTGAATTTAATGCTATTATAATTCTGGATTATTTTATATTTTTGGTAAAATTCTGACCAAAGCACATTTTCTAACTGTCATTTGTGATTACCAGAATTAAATTTGCCCATCAGTACATTGTAACTTATGGGGCAGGGGTGACAGAGGTACAATATACAAAGCCCACATACAAACGTATATATGATAAAGAAAAACCCCCAAAATTGTTTACAGCAACTTCATTGTGGAAAGACAATCAAGCTAAATACTAAACGGACTGATTTTGAAGGAAGCTTGAGTCAAAATGGAATCCCAAAAATCAAGTTGGGTCAGTTTGTTGACTGCTGTGGAAAGGGGTTGTCAAAAAAAAAAGATTGTATGTGATTGTTCAGGACTTCTGTAGGTGCAAACTCAAATGTTGTGGCCCTGATTTCTGTTGTTTTTACAACAACTTCTTTCTAAATGTAAATTTCATTTTGCTAAATAAAGTTAGATGATTTTTTTCAAGATCACCATATCACTTTATGATTTTCTGTTACATCAAGGAATAGCATACCTACATCTGCATTCACTTCATCTTTATAAATATTTATAACTCTCACAATTCAAATTGAAAGGGGAGTTTTCTATTGGCCGATTGAATAACATCGGAACATTTTCAAATGACATCGTTGTGCTTGTTCGTTGATTGGCTGGTTTGATTCAAATGTCAATGAAATTAACAAACATTTATAAAACACCAAGAGTAGTTGAAATGAAAAATCTTTGTGCATTAGCGAGGATTATACCGATTTTACAAGGGCTGTAGTTTTAACCCCCTCCCCATTGTTTCCAACAGTAATCCCCAAGGCCTTTTTTAATAAAAACAAAAATGAATGTTCAGTGTAAGGGTTGCACTAATGTAGATTCAGCCATCTATGTTTTTAAAAAGTTAATGGTTTCCATATACTTGAGTATAAAACCATATTCAATTTGCTGAAGGGCTACTTTTGATATTTGACTGTATAGATACAACAATCACATAAAGTACTTATTACCAACGAAGCATGAAAATCCCAAATAACCATATAATTGATGTCTGACTAGATACAATAACCAATATTTCTGTAAACATATTTAATTATTCACTGGTTTTTATTTCGCTATTTTTGCGTACAAAAAAAAATCCACTGAATTTAATTAATGCGAGCATGTAAATTTAACTACTGTAAAATACCTTATTTTGGCTGAAAAGACTTTCTGGATGTTTTGTATGGAATTAATTTTCACTGATTTTTGACAAGTTTAAAGTAAAATATAGGAAAAAAGGTATATTCGCTGGATTTTATTTTCACTGAATCATTCCTTCAGCGAAAATAAATTCCAAGCGAAAATGAAGTATTCTACAGTATATCTCATTGTTTCTCTGCAAAGTTTGTGGACTTAAAACCCAGTGAATTTGCTCAAAACATTAAAATAGTGAAATTAAATGCTAGTGAAAATAAATGGTTTTACAGTAAAATTTGTCTCAAAACGAAGTATTATATCTAGAATCAAGACAAATTAGATAGAAATGATAGAGGGTGCACTCAGTCACACATTCATGAACTTAATAAAAATTCATTTACCTTTGTGTACATCATATTAAGGTTTTCATCTTCATCCGTATCTTGGTAACCACTATCCTCCCTCCCCAGTCGTTTTCTATCAGAGTTGATGTTGATTACTAAAGAGTTCAATTTGTTGCCCCATTGACGGTAAACATCTTCTCGTTTTTCAAGATCACTTATCAAATGAACAATTTCCTTTTTAGTATTTTTATCTTCAAAATCAGAAGGATAGGAGCTGATCCATTTCTCTAATATTGTTAACACCTGTTGATAAATAATATTTAATTTTACACTTGGCACTTGCGAGAACGTGACGTACACCACAACTGCAACACACAATTTGTTTTTTGTTTTGTGACACTGTTTTGAAAACAATTTTTTTTACTAAATTCCTAAGGTGAGGAATAATTGATGGCTGCAACTGGTGACTCTCGGACTCAAACTCAAATTTATTGAACAGTAAATAATTTACAGAAATGTGTGATCAAAGACAAATACTAAACAGACATCCACTGTTGTTGAATACTCAGGAATTTAAAATTGTTCAAAACAAGTATGACCGCATCCAGTACATAGATAGGGTTTCAAACTTGGATGCTGCAATGAACCATTTCTTAGATGTATGAGGTATGGAGCGAGCTACTATGATTATTGCTACAGTGTTCCACTGGCGACAGTTCTGTTCACTTCCTGATTAGTACATCTCAATTAAAAGATCTTCACGATCAGTTTTAATGAATTCAACCTGATTGTGCGACAAATCCACATCAGACAATGGAATCGGTTAATAATATCCTCAGTCAAAATGACTAACATATGTATGTGTAATAAGCCAATGACAGAGTCACCAAACTGTTGCATGGCTGGTTTTACATGAATATCTGACGATTCTGGAATACGATCGCTGGGTTTCAGCCTACCAGATTCTAACCACATAATAACTAACCTTTCGTTGCACATCGTGTATTGCATCACAATCAACAGTTACACCTTTACCATTTTCATTTTCCGTCATGCTTTCTGAAAACTCACTTATACCATCACACTTCATTGATAAATGTACAGCAGCTGTGTGATTGTTTGTCACACTGGTGGCTTTATCTTTCATCATGCTGTGTGATTTAGAACCAAGAGTCCACATGGAATGCATCAACAGCCTTAGGATGATGACTGGGTGCAAGTAGGTGGGAAGAACAGAGAGCAAGGTGTCACAAAACTTATCAGGAAACAGATCATTTAGATTTAGGTCAATGTTCTGGAAGTATAAACAAAATTATCAACATTAAAAAATTATGTGTATCTTAAATTACAGCATTGTCAGTACCAGAAAATTCTATGTTGTCATCATTCACTGGTAAACGTCCACACCCGGAACAAGCATACTGTTAACAATCAACAATAAATGGCAGAGCACAAATTATGGAATGTAAAGTGAGTGAAATTAAGAAAAATTATAATACTGTCTGCTACATGTATAATGGCATGTTCTCATTGGTTGATCAGTACTCCGTCAGGATTACCCTTAAAATCATTTTGACAAGCCGCTCCGCTAGGATTGCCCTTAAAATCACTTTTGTGTGCATGTGTTAGTAACCTAGATTGTGACGACGCTCAGTATTTTCATAATCTATATTTATATTTAATCAAATTTAAGTTTGCGTAGCTTAGGTATATTCAACTTTTACTTAATTAAACTTAATTAATCTGGAATTTTACATTAAATTGCATTGTAATTGAGTTTAATTAAACTCAAATTAAAACGCAACCCTTTATAGGAACGCATTTTAATCGAGTTCATATCGCAACTATATTAAAAGTTAATTCAATGTGTGTCATTACAACGATAATAAGACGTGTACATTACAATGTATGTGCAAGTCTATGTGAGTGATTTCCAGTGTCTTCGCGTATTGAATCGTCTGAGTTATTTTGGCTTGCCTGATTTTGCTCAAACTTGGCATACCTTCACTCTAGTTAGGTGGTAAAATTGTAAAAATAACTCTTGGCCCACCGTTGCCATAGCAACAGCCAAAAAACTGATTTTTGAATACTTTCGCATAAAATGCATTACCTACTACCAGTGTTCAAATGATCATGCTTATTATTAAGTTGCTAAGTTGCGCACCGATAAGAAACCACTTGAGCTGTTCAAGGAATCTAGAAAATACAATTGCAAAACAGTCACACATGCTATATTTGTAATTCAATTTGGCTTTCAGTATTATGTCAAACTAAAAACTCCAAGCACTACGAGATGAGAACAAATTTAGCTGTGTTACACTGAAACAGTACCGTAAAATCTGTATTAGAAGCCGCATCCCTAATAGAAGTCGCACCCATTCTTTTTGAATAATTTAGAATAAAAAATTCATCATTTCTCATATGTGTACATGCTCTAATAGAAGCCGCATCCACTCTGTTGCATTGTACCATTTTAATAGAAGCTGCGGCTTCTAATACAGATTTTACAGTAATACCGATCGTTCGGAGACAGGTATTTGGAATTCACCAGATGACAAGAGCTGTAGAAACATTCAAAGAAAACATACATAATAAAACTGTCAACAGAGTGCATGGGCTAGGGTGATCAATGTAGTGTATAGACACTGCCTACAGGAGACACAACATACAGAGGATGAACGCACGATAACTAAAATTTAGTAACCGTGTCACGGTAAAAAGAAAAAAAAAAATTTTTCATTTCACAATGCTAATGGAATATGGCGGAAATAAAATAAAAAGTTTGTCATCTTATCGAAATCAAAGGGTTACCTTGCATGAATATACTAATGATAAGAGCAAAAGATACAGTAGTAATAAAGTGTAGTGACTTCTTGAGACTGAAAGCTCTTTGTGAACTTCATATACAGGGTCCGATTTTAATTATAGCATGGTGTTTCCTTACATGTCCTACCATGGCACCATCTTTTTGAGCGAAGCGGATCACCAACCAGCCTACCGGTTTGTCATTATTATGATTCATTCACGTTAAGAAATCCTTTTGTTTTTCATATAGCACCATAAAGTTACATAATTACATATTCCACTGAAATCTATTGGTACATATATCACACATGCTTTGTACGTAAATGACAGATGTGCCAATGGACAAAATAAGTATACTTTGGAAAATACAAATAGTTATTCCATCAGCTTGTGCCATGTCAGCATGATGTTTTTATTAAGTTTTAAATTTCACAGCCACATAAAATCAAGTTTTAATCAACTTATAATCAGTGAAACTTAGTAAACAATATTCAACTAATAGCAGGTGAATACAATAACTATTAGACGAAGTCCTTTTTTGTTGTGCCATGTGATTAACTATTCATTATGACTTACCTGTGGTTTGTGGACGACAACGCCCGTATGTCTTTTATACACTATGTAGTATTAACAGTATCGGAAGATACACCACATACATTGTACACACCAATTTTGAAAACTGTTACAGTACTGCTGATAACTGATGAACTGTATATGTTGTATCAGGGATCAGACAATATGGTATGAAAGTAATGATAAAATTCTGCATGACATTACCTCTGTAACATGATTCGTGTCAGTAAATTCACCCATAGGCTGTTTGTCTGATATCAAAATACCCTGGATAAGGAACTCGATTGTAGCTACACTCAATGTTCCATCTTTGATATTTACACAAGTCTCATTATCTGAAAAAATAAAGCATTAAATTTCATGGTGGTTGCGATAACCCAAGCCTATTTATTATTTATCGCCAACCCTAAACTTTTTTTTTGCCAAACCTGTTCTTGAAGTGCATGTTGTCAAAACCACATATTAATTTGTGTTGATTTCATTAGAAATAAAAAACGGAAACACCATGACAGCATTTCCTCAAGGCAGTATTACAGTTTCTTATAAATAACTGGCTCCGTGGTGTAACAATATATTAGATATAGTTTTAGTTTCATGCATTCAATTGATGGGTTATAATTGGTTACCATGGTGAGTTGTTATGTGGCATCATCAGGTTACCTGGCTTTAGTAAAGTGACCTGTATATAAAGACCATCTGTCTATAGTAAATGCCACTGGGTAGTCCCAAAGATATTTACATGAAAAGTTACCTGTACATAAACACTACCTGTCCATAGTAAATGCTACTGGGTAGTCCCAAAGCTATTTACATGTAAAGTAACCTGTATATAAAGACTACCTGTCTATAGTAAATGCCACTGGGTAGTCCCAAAGCAATTTACATGTAAAGTGACCTGTACATAAAGACTACCTGTCTATACAGGCCTCGAAAATTTAAAAAAAAATTTACTTGCCACAGGACAAGTAGATTTTTAATATCACTTGCCCTGATGAAAATTATGCTTGCCCCATTTTGCATAAGTGTATATTGTAACATTATGTGAAGAAAACACACACGATTAGGATTAATGGAATACATTATTTATTTCATAACAGTTACATCATCACATTCACAAATATTGCTATTTGTTTACTGATATAGTATTGTTCACTGATTCAACATGCTGAAGAGCGTGTCCATGTATATGTTTCGTCCCACCACTTTCAAGCCAATGTT